TGAGGAGAGATGAAGATGGTTTTTGGTTGGGTGTGGTTGTTTTGGGGTGGTGGGGTGGGGTTGTGGTGTGGGGTGGGTGTGGTGGGTGGTTGTTGGGTGGGGTTGGGTTGGTGTGGGTGGGTTTGGGTGGGTTGGGGTGGTGGTTGGGGGGGTGGGGTGGGGGTGGTGTGTGGGTTGTGGTGGTGGGGTTGGGTGGGTGGTGGTGATGAGGTGAGAGGTGGGATTGGTTGGGGTGGGTGGTGGGTGTGTTGGGTGGTGGGTGGGTGGGGTGGGGGTGGTGTTGTGGTGTTTTGTGTGTGTGAACAATAGCAATAATGGATGATGTGTGTATGACAACAGTAACAGTGCAGGTGGGTGTGTGGTGGGGTGGGGTGGGTGGGGGTGGTGGTGTGGTGGGTGGTGGTTTGTGGTTGGTGGGGGGTGGGTGGGTGTGGTGTGGTTGGTTGGTGTGTGTGTGGTGTGTTTGTGCTGTGCTGTAATGCATTTGCTGTTGCTATGTGTGTGTGCTGTACCGTGCTGTGCTGTGCTGTGTGTGTGTGTGTGTGTGTGTGGTGTGTGTGTGTGTGTTTGTACTGTACTGTACTGTACTATGCTATCTATACTATACTGTATATATATACTTTTTAATGCTCTTTTTTTAGTTTGTTAGATATATTTGGGTACTGTATTTTAAGAGGTTTTATGTCATTTATTTGTATTTTTGTATTTTAAAGTAATTTATTTGTATTTTAGGGACATTTTAAGGTATTTTAAGTAATTTATTTGTATTTTAGGGATATTTTAAGGCTCAACTAATTTAACACAGATAGGATAGCTTCTTATGTATTAGGATATTTAATATTAAGGTAAATAAATGGTGGCGAAGGTGTGGCTATTGGGGGAGGCTGGAGGCCAATAAAAAAAAAGAAAAAAGTTATGTGTATTATACATAGCTTGAACATTTTTAAGGTATTTGGGGGGATATTTTAAGGCATGATATGTATTTAGGGATACTTTAAGGTATTTGATAATATTTTAGGGATGTTTTAAGGTAATTTAAGGATATTTAAGATATTGATATTTTATGGAATTTTGGGATATTTATATGGTATTTAAAGGATATTTTAAGTTATTTTAGGGATATTTTAAGGTATTTTAGGGACATTTAAAAGTAACTTAAAGAGGTTGACGTCATTTAATGGTTTTGTAAAAGTGTTGGAATTTACTTATAAAGTGAAATTGATAGTGAGCAGTGTTGCCAGATGGTCCTCACATAAATACTACTGATGACTCTTGATGTGTGTTAGTTATTTTGCCTTGGTAACATTGATTTGGTTAGTGGTGGAGGAGGTGTGTGAGGAAGGAGGGTGAGAGGGAGTGGGGTATATGTGAGGAGGTGAGAGGGCAGGTGGGGGGTATATGTGAGAGGTGAGAGTGGGGGTGAGAGGGAGTCGGGGGTATATGTGAGGGAAGGAGGGGTGAGAGTGGGGGGTATATGTGAGGGGAAGGAGGGGGGGGGGTGGGAGGGTATGTGAGGAACGAAGGGAGGAAGAGTGGGGGTAATGTGAGGGAGGAGGGGTGAGAGAGTGGGGGTATGTGAGGGAACGAAAGGAGGAAAGTGGGGGTAATGTGAGGGAAGGAGGGGGTGAGAGAGGGGGAGTGGGGGGGGGTATATGTGAGGGAAGGAGGGGGTGAGAGAGGGAGTGGGGGGGTGAGAGGGGGGTGGGGGTATATGTGGGGAAGGAGGGGGTGAGAGAGGGGGGAGTGGGGGTATATGAGGGGGGGTGAGAGAGGGGGGGGTGGGGGTTATATGTGAGGGAACGAAGGGAGGAAGAGTGGGGTAATGTGAGGGAAGGAGGGGTGAGAGGGAGTGGGGGTATATGTGAGACAGAAGGAGGAAGAGTGGGGTAATGTGAGGGGAAGGAGGGGGTAGAGGGAGTGGGGGGTATGTGAGACGAGGGAGGAAGAGTGGGAGTGTTGAGGGAAGGAGGGGGTGAGAGAGGTGGGGGGTATATGTGAGGAACGAAGGGGAGGAAGGTGGGGAATGAGGTGAGGGAAAGGAGGGGTGAGAGGAGAGGGGGAGTGGGGGGTATGTGGAGGAACGAAGGGAGGAAGAGTGGGGTAAGTGTGTGTGTGTGTGAGGTGGGGGTGAGAGGTGGGGTATGTGTGAGGGAAGGAGGGGGTGGAGTGGGGCATGTATGTGAGGGGGGAGGAAGAGGGGTGTGTGAGGAGGAGGGGGGTGAGAGTGGGGGTATATGTGAGGGGAAGGAGGGGGTGAGAGAGGGGTGGGGGGGGGTATATGTGGGAACGAAGGGAGGAAGAGTGGGTTAATGTGAGGGAAGGAGGAGAGGGGAGTGGGGGTATGTGTGAGGGAACAGAGGAAGAGGGTAATGTGAGGGGAAGAATGAGGGAGTGAAGGGTGAGAGAGAAGATGTCAGAAAGAGTGAGGGAGGTAAGGGTGAAAGTTGGAGGGAAGGGTGGGTGAGGGAGTGTTGGAGGTGAGAGTGGAGAGTAGCGTTGACATAGTTGGTGGTAGTGTTGTGGTGGTGGTAGTCTTAGTCACGCAGCAGTTGTAGTAACCAAACAAATAGTAGGTCAAGGAAAGGTGAGAGAGAGGAATGGAGGGAGAAGGTGGAGGAGAGAAGAAGGTGGGAGGAGAAGGAATGGGGAGAGAAGGAATGGAGGGGAGAGAAGGTGAGAGAAGGAATGGAGGGAGGGAAGGTGAGAAAGAATGGTGGGGAGAGAGAAGAATGAATGTTGGGAGGGAAGGAATGGAGGGAGGGAAGGTGAGAGAAGAAGGGAATGGAGGAGGAGAATGGTGGGAGAGAAGGAATGGTGGAGGGAGGGAAGGTGAGAGAAGGAATGGAGGGAGGGAAGGGTGAGAGAAAGGAATGGGTGGGAGAGAGAAGAAAGGAATGGTGGGAGGGGAAGGAATGGAGGGAGGGTGAGAGAGAAGGAATGGAGGAGGGAAGGAATGGTGGGAGGGGAAGGAATGGAGAGGGAGGGGAAGGGGAGAGGAATGGAGGGAGAGGGAAGGAATGGTGGGGAGAGGGAAAGGGAATGGAGGGAGGGAGAAGATGGAGAAGAAGGAATGGAGGGAGGGGGAAGGAATGGTGGGAGAGAAAGATGGAGAGGGAGGAAGGTGAGAGAGAGAAGGAATGGGGAGGAAGGTAGGAAGGGAGAGGGAGAAGAGGAATGGAGGGGAGAGGAGGTGAGAGAAAGTGGAGGGGAGAGAAGGAATGGAGGGGGAGAAGGTGGAGGGAGGAGGGAAGGAATGGAGGGAGGGGAGAGAGATGGGAGAGAGAAGGAATGGAGGGAGGGAAGGTGAGAGAAGGAATGGAGGAGAGGTGAGAGGAATGGAGGAGAGAAGGAATGGTGGGAGGGAAGGTGAGAGAAGGAATGGAGGGAGGGAAGGTGAGAGAGGAATGGAGGAGGGGAAGGAGAGAAGGAATGGAGGGAGAGAAGGAATGGTGGGAGGGAAGGTGAGAGAAGGAATGAGGAGAGAAGGAATGGTGGGAGAGAAGGAATGGAGGGAGGGAAGGTGAGAGAAGGAATGGAGGGAGAGAAGGAATGGTGGGAGAGAAGGAATGGAGGAGAGAAGGAATGGTGAGAGAAGGAATGGTGGGAGAGAAGAATGGTGGGAGAGAAGGAATGGAGGGAGGGAAGGTGAGAGAAGGAATGGAGGGAGAGAAGAGTGGAGGAGGAGAGAAGGATGAATGGAGAGAGAAAAAAGAGGAATAGAGAAAGACTTCCAGTAAGTAATAACAATTCCCGTGACTCACAATTCCCGCCATTGAGCACATATTCCACCATTTCTCTATTTGTTTGTTTTCTCTCTTTTCTTTTCTCGTTTAGTTGGAAATAGTGAAGATCTCTATTTATTCTTAGTGAATCACATATCGAAAGACCTGCATATTATTATTGTTATATTTATTATTATTATTTATTTTTTTTTTTCAATGTAACTTTTAAAATCGTTTTCGACTCATCTCCTCCTCCTCCTCCCTCCTCCTCCTTCTCCTCCCCTCTCTCCTCCTCCTCCTCCCTCCTTCTCCTCCTCCACTTCATCCTCCCTCTGCCTCCTCCTCCTTCTCCTCCTCCTCCTCCTCCTCCTCCTCCTCCCTCTGCCTCCTCCTCCCCTCCCTCCCCTCTCCTCCTCCTCTCCTCCTCCCCTCCTCCTGCCTCCCTCCCTCCCTTCCCTCCTTTGCCTCCTGCTCCTCCTCCTCACTTCATCATCCCTTTACCTCCCTCCACTTCATCCTCCCACTTCTGCCTCCTCCTCCTGCTCTCCTCCTCCACTTCATCCTCCTTCATCCTCCACTTCATCTCTCCTTCTGCCTCCTCCTCCTCCTCCCTCCTCCTCCTCCTCCTCCTCCCCTCCTCCTCCTCCTCCTCCTCCTCCCCTCCTCCTCCTGCTCCTCCTCCCACTTCATCCTCCACTTCTGCCTCCTCCTCCTCCTCCTCCTCCTCCTCCACTTCATCCTCCCCCCTTCTGCCTCCTCCTCCTCCCTCCCTCCTCCCCTCCTCCCCTCCCCTTCTACCTCCCCTCCTCCTCCTCCTCCTCCCACTTCTACCTCCTCTCCTCCTCCTCCTCCTCCACTTCTGCCTCCTCCTCCTCTTTGCAGTGAGTGTAAACCAGTCATAAACATTGATAGAAAATAACTGAATTAATATACCACAAGCTCTCCACCAATCATATGCTTGGATGACTAATAACGACGCCACGATTGGTTGGTAGGGCTGTGTTCTTTACCAAACAAGAGAGCTTTGTTTACAGCCCATCCAGCCAATCATAACGTCTATAGTAGTGACCCCGGGCTGTGATTGGTGAGATTGGGAGAGGAAAATATTCGATAAAGGAGGAAGAGGGAAGTTGTGATGTTTAGTAGAGAGTTGAGGAAAGGTGAGAGGTGTAAGAGAGGGAATGAGAGAGGGATGGGGGAAGGAAGGGTAGAGACACGGAAGGGGGGAGGAAGAGAGGGGAGGTAAGAGGTGAGTGAGACAGCCAGTCGTGTGGTGGTGACTGTCAGCGAAGGTGGTTGGCTGTTGGTCTCTGTTCCCCTCCTCCTGACACTTGCTGACACCTACTGACGTTGTAGTTAAATCTGGTTCTGGTGAGAGTCGCTTGTGATACCTGCTGCTGGCTGGACCCACTGACTTAGGTGAGAGAGAGATGAGGAAATATCACGTGAACGGATGAGAGATGACTGTGTAGTAACGTAGACAGACACAGACAGACAGACACAGACAGACAAACACAGACAGACAAACACAGACAGACACACAATTATTATTATTGTCGTCATTGTGGTTGTTGTTATTATCATCATTATAATTCAATATATCATGTTTTGTGGTGGTTGGAAGTGTACCCTAATGAGTGTGTGGTCGATGACGTCACATTATTGGGTCCCAGGGAGGTCGACTGGCCGCAACATAGTGCTAAGCCTCATATAATTTGTTTACTTTTATTTGGGAGCAAGAAAAATTGTGTTGATCACGAAGAGAGAGAGAAACTAATTGGGTTTTATTTCTCTCTCTCTCTCTCTCTCTCTCTCCCTCTCTCTCAATATATTAGCCAATTTATTCCTCCATGCATCTCTCTCTCTCTCTCTCTCTCTCTCTCTCTCTCTCTCTCTCTCTCTCTCTCTCTCCGGAAAAGACCTAGCGATGGAGTAGATAACACAGCCATTTGATTGGCTGACACTGACAAATTTTAACAGAGCAGCTCGTTGATTGGCTGAGAGATAATCAATACAAACAAACATTAAAATAAGTATTAATGAGCGTCATGTGTCTCCCTCTCTCTCCCTCTCTCTCCCTCCCTCTCCCCTTCTTCTCCACCTCTCCCTCTCCTCTTCATCCTCTTTCCTACCGCTACCTATCCCCCTTACTCTCCCTGCCCCTCCTTTACCCCTACTGCCTTCTCTGCCTCCCCTCCCTCCTTCTCTCCCTCTCTCCCTCTCCCCCCTCTCTATAATCGAGTGATCAGACAGACAGGAACAGTGTCACGAAGGTAATTCACTCCTATTGTATTATTCACTCTGGCACTAGTACCGGGAGAGTGCCATACCTACCATCCCTATTACGTGGCACTAACAACCCCCTCACACCCCTCTCATCCCTCTCACCCCCTCTCTGCTACCCAATAAAGACGGTAACTTATTATTTTTTATTTGCTTACTTTCCATCAAGCGCTATGGGGAGAAGGTCATTTCCCTGGCCTCTGATTGACTCGTGTTATTATGAGGTCATGATTAGTTTGTAAACATTACCACGTGGTGTGTGTGATCTTGGTGTTGCTTGTGATTTGTTAGAGAGAGAGAGAGAGAGAGAGAGAGAGAGAGAGACTTAACCTTATTGACCTGGTTGTCAGATTTATTAACATTGAGCCCAAGTGACGTCACAACCCCCGGTCACACCACCAATATATATACAATAACTTTATCATTTACAGAGTCATGATGGGTCGTTGTGTACTGCTGGCTGTCTTCCTCATCGTTGCCTGTGAGTATTATGGTAACCTAGCCTAATCTAATCTAATCTAACTTAACCTAGCCTAATCTAATCTAATCTAACTTAACCTAGCCTAATCTAATCTAATCTAACTTAACCTAGCCTAATCTAATCTAATCTAACTTAACCTAGCCTAATCTAATCTAATCTAACTTAACCTAGCCTAATCTAATCTAATCTAACTTAACCTAGCCTAATCTAATCTAACCTAACCTAACCTAGCCTAATCTAATCTAACCTAACCTAACCTAGCCTAATCTAATCTAATCTAACTTAACCTAGCCTAATCTAATCTAATCTAACCTAACCTAGCCTAATCTAATCTAATCTAATCTAACTTAACCTAGCCTAATCTAATCTAATCTAACTTAACCTAGCCTAATCTAATCTAACCTAACCTAACCTAGCCTAATCTAATCTAATCTAACTTAACCTAGCCTAATCTAATCTAATCTAACCTAACCTATCGTAACTTAATCTAACCTAACCTAGCTCAATTTAATCTAATCTAACTTAACCTAGCCTAATCTAATCTAATTCAACTTAACGTCAAATCTAATCTAATCTAACTAACCCAGCCTAATCTAATCCAATCAAACCTAACCCAGCCTAATCTAATTCAATCTAACTTAACCCAGCTCAATCCAATCTAATTCAACTTAACCTAGCCCAATCCAATCTAATCTAACTTAACCCAGCCTAATCTAATCAATCTAACTTAACCCAGCCTAATCTAATCTAATTCAACTTAACTCTAGCCTAACTCAATCTAATCTAACTAAACCCAGCCTAATCTAATCTAATCTAACTTAACCCAGCCCAATCTAATTCAATCTAACTTAACCCAGCTCAATCTAATCTAATCTAACTCCCAACCGCTCAATCTAATCTAATTCAATCTCAACCAGTCTTAAACTTAACCCAGCCTCCAAATCCAATCTAATCTCTCAACCTAGCCTAATCTAATCTAATCAACTTCAACCCAGCCCAATCTAACTTAATCAATCCAACCTAGCCCAATCAATCTAACTAACTTTAACCCAGCCCATCTTAACTTAATCCAATTAACCCAGCCTCAACTAATCTAATCAACTTAACCCAGCCCAATCAATCTAATCTAATCAACCAGCCTAATCCAATCTAACTAACTAAACTCAGCCTCAACTAATCTAATCTAACTTAACCCAGCCCAATCTAATCTAACTAACCTAACCCAGCTCAATTCAATCTAACTTAACCCAGCCCAATCTAATCTAACCAATTAAATCAGCCATAATCTAATCAACTTAACCCAGCCCAATCTAATCTAATCCAACTCAACCCAGCCTAATCTAATTCAATCTAACCAACCCAGCCTGTTCAACCAACTCCAATCCTAACTTAACCCAACTCCAGCCTAACTTAATCTAATCTAAACTTAACCCAGCCCAATCTAATCTAACTTCAACCCAGCCAATCTAATCTAATCCAATCAACTACCAGCCTCAATCTAATCTAACCTAACCTAACCAGCCCAATCCAATCTAATCAACTTAACCTAGCCTAATCTAATCTAATCTAACTTAACCTAGCCAATCTAATCTAATCTAACTTCTCAGCCCAATTCAATCTAATCCAATTTAACCCAGCCTAATCTAATCTAATCTAACTTAACCCAGCTCAATCTAACTAATCTAACTTAACCATTCAATCTAATCTAATCTAACTTAACCTAGCCCAATCTAATCTAATCTAACAACCTAGCCTAATCTAATCTAATCTAACTTAACCCAGCCTAATCTCTAATCTAACTTAGCCTAGCTAATCTATCTAATCTAACCAAGCCTCAATCAATCTAATCGAACTTAACCCAGCCTACCTCAATCTAATCTAATCTCAGCCTGGCCTAATCTAATCTAATCACAACCCAACTGCCTAATCTAATCTAATCACTTAACCTAGCCTTAATCTAATCTAACTTAACCTAGCCTAATCTAATCTAATCTAACTTAACCTAGCTAATCTAATCTATAATCTCTTAAAACCTATCGTAACAATCTACAACCTAACACAATCTAACCTAACCTAACCTAACGTAACCTAACCTACAGGGTCGTCAGGGTCGGTGGAGAGTGTGAAGACTGGAAGAAAAACTGTCTGGCTACTTTGACGCTGCTGCTACCAGCCTGTAAGTCTTAAGTTGACCTTTGTTGTGTGTTAGAGTGTGTTATTAGAGTATGTTAGGGCATGACAGGGTGTGTTGGAGTGTGTTATTAGAGTATGTTAGGGCATGACAGGGTGTGTTGGAGTGTGTTATTAGAGTATGTTAGGGCATGACAGGGTGTGTTGGAGTGTGTCAGGGTGTTTTGGAGTGTGTTAGTTAGGGTGTGTCAGATCTGTTAGGGTGTGTTAGGGTATGTCCGAGTTTTCCTTTCATTGATTAGAACTACAAAGGACAGAGAATATACCTGCCTCGTAATGATTGTTGACCCAGGTAATTGACCCTAGTAAATGACGTAATTACTTTGACCTCTTTTCTGTCTATCTATCTATCTATTTGGTATGTGGTCAGGTAGGAGCCAGGTATAGTGAGAACAGGTGAAGTGTACTTAGCAACCAGGTATGTAAACATTGATGAGTTGCCTAGTCCTCACCTAGAGAGAGAGGTTGGGGGGTGGGAACGAATTTTATGACTGTTGTAGAATGTAGGGCAAGGAGGGAGGGTGAGGGAATGAGAGGGAGGGTGAGGAATGAGGGAGGGAGGGTGAGGGATAGGGAGGAGGGGTGAGGATAGGGAGGGAGGGTGAGGGATAGGGAGGGAGGGTGAGGGATAGGGAGGGAGGGAGGAAGAAGGGGAGGTTCATTTTCTAGGAACCGATAATATGATTTATAAGGAATGTGTGTTGATAAGTCTAGTGGTTGCTACAACACTACTTAACGACTGCTACCCCTCTCTCTCACACAGGGAGAAGAGGTTTGGTTCATTGAATGAAAATCTCATGAATATGATAAATAAAAAGAACTTCACTAATGCCTCAGCTGAACAGCTTATCGCCTGGATGCCAAATGACGGCTGGAACGAAATGCAGGTACAGTAAAACCTCCCTATAACGGATTTATTTATCCATATAGTCCATTAAATAGAGTTTTTCTCATATAATGGCCCTTCGATATAACCCACTTTCACTTTTATATATATATATATAGTTTATTATTATTGTTGTTGTTATCATCATAATCATTATTAACACCATAACCATCACCATCCATCACCACCCATACTAGCATTATCAACAGCACCACAACCCTCACCACCACCATCACCACACCCAACACCATCTACACCACCACCATCACCTCAACCATCACCACCCACCATCACCACACCCAACACCATCTACACTCCCACCATCACCTCACCCAACACCACCTACACCAACCATCACCACACCCATCACCCCTACACCACCATCGTTCACCCATCACCACCTACACCCCACCCTCACCCCACCCCACCATCACCCTCCCCACCACCCTCCTCCCCACCCTCCCACCTACCCCCCACCATCTCCACCATCCTCCTCCCCACCCTCACCACCCACACCCCACCATCACCTCCCCACCTCCTCCCCCCACCCTCTACACCCCCACCATCACCCTCACCACCTCCTCCCCACCCCTCACCACCACCCCCCACCATCACCCTCACCACCCTCCTCCCCCCACCCTCACCTACACCCCACCATCCCCTCACCACCCTCCTCCCCCACCCTCACCACCCACACCCCCACCATCACCCCTCACCACCCTCCTCCCCCACCATCACCCTCCCCACCCACCCCTCCTCCCCACCACCCCCCACCATACTAATCCCCCTCCCTCACCTCTCTACAGCCAGCTATGCTCATGACAGCCAAAGGAACAGAGGTCACTAAGTTACTAAGTCAATTGGACCACAGAAGCTCCCCCAACGCTTCTTGAACGAGTTGTCCCGTCTGGTTCTCCTCAACATGACTGACCAAGAACTTATTGCCAAGATTAAAGAGACGGCCAAGCAGGTGAGTTATAGCTGTGGTGGTTGTGGGTGTTGATAGCTGTGGTGGTCGTGGGTGTTGATAGCTGTGGTGGTCGTGGGTGTTGATTTCTATAGCTGTGGTGGTCGTGGGTGTTGATAGCTGTGGTGGTCGTGGGTGTTGATTTCTATAGCTGTGGTGGTGAGGCAGAGGTGTGGTGGTGGTGGAGAGAGATTATTTTAGCTGTGGTGGTGATGGAAATGAGAGATTACTGTCAAGATTTAAAGAACTAATATTGTTTACATTACAGTAAATGCTGTTAAATCACCCTAAAGTTACTAATTAAACTATTTGTGCTGTTACAGTTTCTCCTAACCTAACCTTACCTAATCGTGTGAAAATAAACTAACATTAATCCTTATTTAAGTTAATGAACCAAATCACAAGTTAAAACAAAGTGATTTTATTTTTAAGTTAACATAAACCGCTTGTGTTATTTTTTGCTGTTTTAACACTAAACCCTTCACAGCACCGATGAAACTAGTGCTGTTAAAACTGCAGAGGTCATTAGACTGGTGCTGTTAATTATATCTTATTTATAGAGGTAGATTATACACTAATTATACAGGTAGATCATACACTAATTATAGGTAGATCATACACTAATTATACAGGTAGATCATACACTAATTATACAGGTAGATCATACACTAATTATACAGGTAGATCATACACTAATTATACAGGTAGATCATACACCGTCATCTTAGTTGTAAAAGAAAGTGCAATAAATGTTAAGATTTTTCTCACTTAATGTGTGTTAACAGAAGGGATAGCTGACAACTTCATGACTTCTAATAATAACTGCAAGGTAGAAATGTTTAACTATCAGCATGGTGCTCTAACTTAATCTGTCAGCATGGTGCTCTAACTTAATCTGTCAGCATGGTGCTCTAACTTAGCTTAATCTGTCATCATGGGGCTCTAACTTAACTTAATCTGTCATCATAGGGCTCTAACTTAACTTAATCTGTCATTATGGTGCTCTAACTTAATCTGTCAGCATGGTGCTCTAACTAATCTGTCAGCATGGTGCTCTAACTTAATCTGTCATCATGGTGCTCTAACTAGCTTAATCTGTCATCATGGTGCTCTAACTTAATCTGTCATCATGGTGCTCTAACTTAATCTGTCATCATGGTGCTCGAACTTATTCGTCATCATGGTGCTCAATCTTAATCCGTCATCATGGTGCTCTAACTTAACTAATCTGTCATCATGGTGCTCTAACTTAATCTGTCAGCATGGTGCTCTAACTTAACTTAATCTGTCATCATGGTGCTCTAACTTAATCTGTCAGCATGGTGCTCTAACTTAATCTGTCAGCATGGTGCTCTAACTTAATCTGTCATCATGGTGCTCTAACTTAGCTTAATCTGTCATCATGGTGCTCTAACTTAATCTGTCAGCATGGTGCTCTAACTAATCTGTCAGCATGGTGCTCTAACTTAATCTGTCATCATGGTGCTCTAACTTAATCTGTCAGCATGGTGTCAACTTAATCTGTCAGCATGGTGCTCTAACTTAGCTTAATCTGTCAGCATGGTGCTCTAACTTAATCTGTCATCATGGTGCTCTAACTTAGCTTAATCTGTCAGCATGGTGCTCTAACTTAATCTGTCAGCATGGTGCTCTCTAACTTAATCTGTCAGCATGGTGCTCTAACTTAATCTGTCAGCATGGTGCTCTAACTTAATCTGTCATCATGGTGCTCTAACTTAATCTGTCAGCATGGGCTCTAACTTAATCTGTCAGCATGGTGCTCTAACTTAACTTAATCTGTCATCATGGGGTCTCTAACTTAACTTAACCTGTCATCATGGTGCTCTAACTTAACTCAATCTGTCAGCATGGTGCTCTAACTTAACTTAATCTGTCATCATGGTGCTCTAACTTAACTTAATCTGTCTGCATGGTGCTCTAACTTAATCTGTCATCATGGTGCTCTAACTTAATCTGTCAGCATGGTGCTCTAACTTAACTTAATCTGTCAGCATGGTGCTCTAACTTAATCTGTCATCATGGTGCTCGAACTTAATCTGTCATCATGGTGCTCTAACTTAATCTGTCATCATGGTGCTCTAACTTAGCTTAATCTGTCATCATGGTGCTCTAACTTAATCTGTCAGCATGGTGCTCTAACTAATCTGTCATCATGGTGCTCTAACTTAATCTGTCAGCATGGTGCTCTAAACTTAATCTGTCAGCATGGTGCTCTAACTTAACTTAATCTGTCATCATGGGGCTCTAACTTAACTTAACCTGTCATCATGGTGCTCAACTTAACTCAATCTGTCAGCATGGTACTCTAACTTAATCTGTCATCATGGTGCTCAACTTAACTTAACCTGTCATCATGGTGCTCTAACTTAACTCAATCTGTCAGCATGGTGCTCAACTTAACTTAATCTGTCATCATGGTGCTCTAACTTAACTTAATCTGTCAGCATGGTGCTCTAACTTAATCTGTCATCATGGTGCTCTAACTTAATCTGTCAGCATGGTGCTCTAACTTAACTTAATCTGTCAGCATGGTGCTCTAACTTAATCTGTCATCATGGTGCTCTAATATAATCTGTCAGCATGGTGCTCTAACTTAATCTGTCAGCATGGTGCTCTAACTTAATCTGTCATCATGGTGCTCTAACTTAATCTGTCAGCATGGTGCTCTAACTTAATCTGTCAGCATGGTGCTCTAACTTAATCTGTCATCATGGTGCTCTAATATAATCTGTCATCATGGTGCTCTAACTTAATCTGTCATCATGGTGCTCTAATATAATCTGTCAGCATGGTGCTCTAACTTAATCTGTCATCATGGTGCTCTAATATAATCGTCAGCATGGTGCTCTAACTTAATCTGTCATCATGGTGCTCTAATATAATCTGTCAGCATGGTGCTCTAACTTAATCTGTCAGCATGGTGCTCTAACTTAATCTGTCATCATGGTGCTTCTAACTTAATCTGTCAGCATGGTGCTCTAACTTAACTTAATCTGTCAGCATGGTGCTCTAACTTAACTAATCTGTCAGCATGGTGCTCTAACTTAATCTGTCATCATGGTGCTCTAATATAATCTGTCATCAGTGCTTTCACACTAATCTGTCAGCATGGTGCTTCTAACTAATCTGTCATCATGGTGCTCTAACTTAATCTGTCAGCATGGTGCTCTAACTTAATCTGTCAGCATGGTGCTCTCTAACTTGTCATCATGGTGCTCTAACTTATCTGTCAGCATGGTGCTCTAACTTAATCTGTCAGCATGGTGCTCTAACTTAATCTGTCATCATGGTGCTCTAACTTAATCTGTCATCATGGTGCTCTAACTTAATCTGTCAGCATGGTGCTCTAACTTAATCTGTCAGCATGGTGCTCTAACTTAATCTGTCAGCATGGTGCTCTAACTTAATCTGTCAGCATGGTGCTCTAACTTAACCTAAATTAATCTATGAGCATGGTGCTGTTAACTTACCAATTTGCATGATACTGTCCGTGTATGGTACAATGTGCACGATACTGTCCGTGTATGGTACAATGTGCACGATACTGTCCATGTATGGCACAATTTGCATGATACTGTCCATGTATGGTACAATGCACGATACTGTCCATGTATGGCACAATTTGCATGATACTGTCTATGGCACAATTTGCATGATACTGTCCATGTATGGCACAATTTGCATGATACTGTCCATGTATGGTACAATTTGCATGATACTGTCCATGTATGGCACAATTTGCATGATACTGTCCATGTATGGCACAATTTGCATGATACTCTGTGTATGGTACAATTTTTATCTGAACAAATTTATTGCATTATATTCCTGCCCTTAGATGGAACGAAATATGTACAAAATCCCTCTCTGACACCCTCCCCTCTCACTGACGTCACCCTCTCGCTGACATCCCCCTCTCACTGACATCACCCTCTCGCTGACATCACCCTCTCACTGACATCCCCCTCACTGACGTCACCCTCTCGCTGACATCCCTCCTCACTGACATCCCCCTCTTGCTGACATCCTCTCGCTGACATCCCCTCTTGCTGACATCCCCTCTCACTGACATCCCCCTCTAACTGACAAAATCCCCATTCGCTGACAATCCCCATCGCTGACAGATGACAGAGATTGAGTGGGTGAGCGTCGTGGCCAGGCTGGGTGTTCCAAAACTGTGGTCAGCCGCCAACATCACCTCTGGGACCGTCACTCTTCTATCTTCCCATCTGCCTCACTAAGATCAAGGATGAGGATGCTGTTAATGCTGTGTAAGTACATGTTAAGTGTGTTTAAGTGAGGTTAAGTGTGTGTAAGTGAGGGTTAAGTGTCTCTAAGTACATGTTAAGTGTGTTTAAGTGAGGTTAAGTGTGTAAATGAGGGTTAAGTGTCTGTAAGTGCATGTTAAGTGTGTTTAAGTGAGGTTAAGTGTGTGAATGAGGGTTAAGTGTCTGTAAGTGCATGTTAAGTGTGTTTAAGTGAGGTTAAGTGTGTGTAAATGAGGGTTAAGTGTCTGTAAGTGCATGTTAAGTGAGGGTGAATTCTACCAAACTCTAACCTAAACATAATTTTCTGTTTAGTATCTTTAAGTGATGGTTAAGTGTGTTTAAGTGAGGATTAAACCCATAAAATGCATCAGAACTAACCTTAATAACTTACCTTAAACGAATGACTCTCTCACCTGTACCTGTACCTATAGGATGCAAGAGATAACGAACTGCCAAGTGAATAGTCCAGATCCTCTTTGTCCGGACTCCAAAACAATGAATGAGATCAAGGAGTCTTTCAACCTCAAGACGAAGTTCCCTCCCATTAATGAGTGGACGGACTCGATTCTGGCACAGTTTGGTGGAGTGCCAATGGCGCCAGTCTCCTTGGTGCCATATTTTAATGACCAGTTGATTAAGAAGGCTAAGCCTGATATTATTAAGGTATGTACTTAAATTATGTGTAGGTAATTGTGTGGATATATTTATAAATTTATGTACTGTATAAGCCACACATCCATACGCCACACTCCCCCCACACATATACTGTACACACACACACACATCCATACACCACACCCCCACATATACTGTACACACACACACACACACACACACACATCCATACACCACACTCCCACACATATACTGTACACACACACATCCATACACCACACTCCCCACACATATACTGTACACACACACACACACACATCCATACACCACATCCCCCACACATATACTGTACACACACACACACACACATCCATACACCACACTTCCCCACACATATACTGTACACACACACACACATCCATACACCACATTCCCACACATATACTGTACACACACACACACACACATCCACACCACACTCCCCCACATACTGTACACACACACACACATCCATACACCACACCCCCCACATATACTGTACACATACCCTCCACACACACATCCATACACCACACTCCCCCCACACATATACTGTACACACACACACATACACACACACGCTCTCTCTCTCTCTCTCTCAAGAATTTACATGTATAGAATCACACACCTCTAACACACCACAGCACACCTCTAACACACCACTAATATACCACTAACACACCTCTAACACACCACTACCACACCACTACCACACCATTAATGCACTCTCACTCCTTCAGATCAAATTCGATGCCAATAATTACTTACAGTGTTTGGTCTGGGCCCAAGCTCTCTGCCGGGTGGATAATTGTGACGAGATGGATAAAGAAACGGTAAGATGGATAGATGGATACTTGTAGATACTATAGATAGATAGATTGATATAGATAGTTAGATAAATACACTAGTTATATATAGGTAGATAGATAGATAGGAAAGTCGGGATAGTTTGGATAAAGTTAACTATTGTGTACACAGGCTATCACGTGGTACAACTCACTGGACGGGATAGAGACTTGTATCACGCCGTCATTCTTCGATCCTGTTGTGTTGGCGGATGACTCACTGACCACTGAAGGCTCACTCAAGGCTAAACTCTTCGCTACTGTCAAGAGTATGGGGAAGATGATGATGGCCAGGGTAAGTCTGTGTGTGGGAGAGAGAGAGAGAGAGTGTGTGGTAGAAAGAGAGAGTGTGGTAGAACGAAAGAGAGAAAAGAAGAAAGAGAGAGAGAGAAAATCACCAGAGAGAAAACAGAGAGAGAAATATAACAAAGTTTCCTCCAGGACTCCTACGCGGTGCAGAAGACCGTGTTTGAAGGGGTAACTGGAGCAAATGTTACGAAGGATGTCATTGATGGTTTAGGTGAGTTGTTCTTTTTTTGTTATTATTGTTCTTGTTTTTCTTGTTCTTTAAATATTCTTGTTATTGCATTTGTTCTATTATAGTAGTAGTAATATTATCATCACTACTAATACTATTATTATTATTATTATTATTATTTTTATTATTATTATTATCATCGGTGGTGACCACATGGCACGGGCATCTGCCTGTATGCTACAGGGAGCAGCCAAACGTACCTTACTCAAGACAGTCCTCCCGTTGATGAGTGGAAGTATTAGCATGGCTCAAGGGTCTGAATTTCCCGCCAAGGTAAGAGTCTTTGGTTAAGTGAGGATATATCTGTCCTTAAGGAATAAAGGATAGGTGAGGGTAGAGGCCTTCAAAAAATCCATTTTTAGGTGATCTACAGTATATCCATCCAGGCAATCTATATCCATTTCAGGCAATCTATATCCATTTCAGGCAATCTATATCCATTCCGGAATCTATATCCATTTCAGGAAATCTATATCCATTCCAGGCAATCTATATCTTCATATATCCATTTCAGAAATCCATTCCGCAATCTATATCCATTTCAGGCAATCTATATCCATTTCAGAAATCTATATCCATTTCAGGCAATCTATATCCATTTCAGGAAATCTATATCCATTCCAGGCAATCTATATCCATTCCAGGCAATCTATATCCATTCCAGGCAATCTATATCCATTTCAGGCAATCTATATCCATTTCAGGCAATCTATATCCATTTCAGGCAATCTATATCCATTTCAGGCAATCTATATCCATTTCAGGCAATCTATATCCATTTCAGGCAATCTATATCCATTTCAGGCATCATATCCATTTCAGGCAATCTATATCCATTCCAGGCACTCTATATCCATTCCAGTCAATTTCCAGCTATTCTAGTCACTATGTATTCCAGGTGGCAGCACTGATGGAAGCCAACATGCAGTCGGCTCTAAATGGCAACACATTCACCTACAGCAACATTAATGAGGCCCTGAGGTTACATCAGCCCCAAGTATATTCGTGACCAGAGTGTCAACAACTTGGAACAGATCACCAAGCTCATGACGAGGCTGGCACCCCCATGACCTCTTACCAGATCTACGTCGTATTGGCTAAGGTCGGCGTCTACCTTTTTAACGGCATATACCTATTAACAGCTTTATCTACTCATTAACAGCTTTATCTACTCATTAACAGCTTTATCTACTCATTAACAGCTTTATCTACTCATTAACAGCTTTATCTACTCATTAACAGCTTTTTCTACTCATTAACATCATCATCTACCACTGTTTATCCATAAACAGCATTATGTATCATCTACCCATTAGGGGGAAAGTTTGCTAATTTTTGTCCTTGATAATAAAGTATTATGTATAAAAGGTTACATGAGTTTCTTCTTCTTCTTCTCCTCTTTATTCATATTATCACCATCATCATGGTCTTCCAGCTGGCTGTGGTGGAGCTCAAGAACTTCCCCGTGTTCCTCAGGGACTACGCTCCCACCGTCCTGCTCAATGGTGCCAATGTCGGAGATCTCAACTCTATAGCGAAAGATATGTCGCTTTTCTCTGCCGGTGAGTTTATGCTGTGTTTGTAACCTAACCTGACCTGACCTAACCTAACTTAACCTAATCCTAAGGTAACCAGAAATAACTTGACCTAACCTAATCTGTACACACACACATTATTAATGTCTCCTTTTAGCACAATGTCATAATAGTCTAGGGATTAAATTATCAGACTCAAGGGGAAAATTATCACACTCAAACATGGTTAAATCATCATACTGAAATACTGTAGTTCAATGATCTAGTATAATTAATCATTATACTGAAATACTGTAGTTCAATGATCTAGTATAATTAATCATCATACTCAAGGATATTAACTACTCATACAAGTACTCATATAGTTCAGTATAGTATACAGGGGTCCCCGGGTTCCTTTCCTGAGGACGTTCTTAAGTCGGATTTGTAAGTAAGTCAGAACACATGTTATGTGCATACTTACAGAACAGTGTTTAAAATCCGACTGTATCATAGTCTAAGTCCTTATATAGTACATCTAAAATCACTAAATTTAAGACAAAATAAGAAATAGAATGACAAAATACAGTTAATGAAAGTAAAAAATAACTAGTCAAGTAAATAAAATACTGTACTGTAAATTTAAAGTTTAACCTCATTTGAATTGGTGGGCGTTCATAAGTTGGGGACCCCATGTAATTAATCTTCTCACGACTCGACAGTGCCTCACAGGTGCCAAGAAATCATTCGGGACTAAAACCGAACTGACGGGGAAGGACCTAACGGAAGGGAAAGAGTTCTTGAAGTGCATGAGCGCTGAGGACGCCAAGAAAGTGAAGCTTGATATGTTAGTTGATGCCCTGAAGAACATCACGGAAACCAAGATGCCTCTCTCTAATGGGGCGGTGAGTATTGTGTCTTGTTCGGACAGAGTTCTATACGTGTTGGAGACAACCAATGTTCTCTATGTTCAAATTCTGTTCACAGTTATGTTTTACAGATGTTCTTCATAATGTTAAAATCAATGTTCATCCAGGTGTTCAATAGGTGTTCTTATCATCACAGGTCAGGGTGTTCAGAAATATGCTGGTCAAGTGGGCTGATACCAACCTGCCAAGCTCAGCATCAGAGGCTCTTAGTGGTGTGTACCTCGGTGACATAGCTGTGCTGCCACCTAGTGTGATTGCTGATGCTGGGTGAGTCTCTGTCTATCTATCCATCTATCTATCTTAGTGATATTATTCTCTCTATCCCCCTCTCTGTCGCTTACCATATTCTCTTGTACATCATTCTCTCCTTCTCAAAAAATATTTTCTCTCTCTCCCAAACAACATTCTATTTCTCTCTCTCACACCATACTCTGTCTCACACCATATCTGCTCTCACACCATACTCTGTCTCACACCATACTCTGTCTCACATCATACTCTGTCTCACACCATACTCTCTCTCACACCATACTCTCTCTCACATCATACTCTGTCTCACATCATACTCTGTCTCACACCATACTCTGTCTCACACCATACTCTCTCTCACACCATACTCTCTCTCACACAGGGACCTGGTATTGTCTTACATGACCCAAGAGATGAAGACGCTCTTTATGATGAGGATGTGTAAGATGGACTCACTGACTCACATCTCTCAAATCCGCCGTAGGATGCTCATCAACAGTATAGTCAAGGAGATGGTGAGCTGTTGTAGGATGTGTTGTAGGATGTGTTGTAGGTATGTGTTTTGTCATATGTGTGAGACTGAATAATAATAATAATAATAATAATAATTCCCTTATGTTTTCTCCCTCCTTCCTCCATCTCCTTCCTATTTCCTTCCACATCCCTCATCCCTACCCTCCCTCCTCCCTCTCCTCCTCCCCACCTACCCCCACCCTTATCTCCACCACCCTACCTTCCTTCCTCCTCCTTCCTCCTTCCTTCCTCCTCTCCTTCCTTCCTTCCTCCTCTTCCTTCCTCCCCCACACAGCTAGAAGAGGATGACATAGATCTCTGTATGCTGAAGAAGTTAGGCACATGTGGCCTTGACCTCGAAACTGAAAATATCAAGAAATTGGATGAGGCCGCCTCCCTGTTATACCTCAACACTCTGGAGGTGTGTGGTGTGTGGTGTGTGTGTGTGTGTGTGTGTGGTGTGGTAAGTGTGTGGTGATGTGTAGTGGTGTGGTGATGTGTAGTGGTGTGTGTGTGGTGATGTAGTGGTGTGTGGTGTGTGTGTGAGTGGTGTGGTGTGGTGGTGGTGTGTGTGTGATGTGGTGTGGTGATGGTGTGGTGGTGTGGTGTGTGGTGATGTGTAGTGGTGTATAAGTGTGGTGATGTGGTGTGGTGATCATCATCCCTGTCAATAAACTCAAACATGTCATCTCTCAACAGAAAAAACTTGAAGCCAACATACCAGTCTGTCTTGACAAAACCCAGAAGGATGTCATCGGTGAAAAGATAGTGGAATTTAAAGGGTAAGTCTCTCTCTTTATTTGACATTATTCTTTGTCCATTTTTCTTTGGGGAGGATCAATGGGCTAAAACAGTCTTGATAACTGAGGGAAATTAATAGTGTGGTGCAAAACAAGTGTAGAAAGTGACAGTAAACTAAGACAATATGTAGAAATATTATCCACACATTAAAAAATATAAATAAATTACTTGACCTTGCCTAACCTAACCCTTAATAACCTATCCAGATCTCCTTATACACTTACACCAACCCACTCTAACCTAACCTAACCAAATGTAATCTTTCAGACCCACGAAAACTTGGAAGGACGCAAATCAGTTCAAATGCTTAATGGATACTCTGTCCGACACCAAGATGAATGGACTGAACTCAGAGGTTTTGGCTACAGTTTCCTGTAACCAAATATTTCCCCCTTTGACGATGGTCAAGTGGTGAGTGGGGAGGAGAGATGGAGTGGGGAGAAGAGAGGAGAAGTGGGGGAGAGGAAGAGCGTAGAAGAGTAAAGGAGGGTAGAGGGGAAGAGAATAAGGGAGTGGGGAGCAGGGGAGAAGGGAGGAAAGTTGAGGAGAAGGAAGGATGGGAGAGTGGGGAGGAGTAGGAGTGGGGACATCAACATGGAGAGCTGAGGAGAGGGGAAAGAAATGTATACTACTGAATGATAATAATAACAATAATAATAACAATAATAATAACAGCAACAATAATAATAATAATAATGATAACAGCAACAACAACAATAATAATAACAATAATAATAACAGCAACAATAACAATGACAAAAATAATAACAATTTATATCTCTTCCAGGGGTAGGAACCAGTGCCAAGTTGTCTTATGAAGCAGTGACGGACATCCAAGCCAGGGAGTGTATGATGATGAGGGGAGAAGGTAAGGACGCGTTTATGTTTATCAATTAATTTATGTAAAGTGGAGCCCCAAACAATATCAAACCCACAGAGATATATCTATTATTAACTTTACCCCAAACAGTAACAAACCCACAGAGATGTAACTATTATTAACTTTGCCCCAAACAATAACAAACCCACAGAGATGTAACTATTATTAACTTTAACCCCAAACAATAACAAACCCACGTGCTTCTCCACAGCCGCATGATGTTAGTTGGGGGTTGGTCATGACTGAAGAGGAGGTGAAAAAATTGACCCCTAAAGAGATCTTGGATAACCTTGAAGCCATTGGCAGCCACAACATGAACTCTAACATTGCTAAGGTATATAAGGTCACTTGAGGTCTTTTGAAGTCATTTGAGGTCACTTGAAGTCATTTGCAGCCATTTTGTGGTTATTTGAATTAATTTGAGACCATTTAAAGTCCTTGAGGCTATTTGAAGTCATTTGAGGTAATTTTGCTTTACCTGTTTCACCTAACCCACCTTCCTATAATTAGCAGAATATTCACCAATTAGGAACCAACCCAAAATAATCCTCCCCTTTCTGCAGGCACTGTTGGATAAATTAAAGGAAGAATATGAGCTATCCGGCCTGTCTAGCGCCCAGCTGAGCAATATGGGCTACATGTTGAAAGGCTTGAGTGTAGCCGACGTGGAGAAGCTGCTTAAGTTCAGTAATAGTGGGTTTAAAGACTTCCTGTACAAGCTGGGTATGGGTGAGATGGTGTTTCCCAAAGATGTGGTGAGTGGCTGTCTGGCTGTTGTTTTAATTTTTTTGTCAGTGTTTTGATAATTTAGGAAGCTTTTGTTGTCTTTCTCTAAGTTTTGAGACTTTAGAAAACTTACTGAGTTTGTTGATGTTTTTGTATTGTTTTGACTCAACTTGAAGATATATGCTAGGTAAGTAGTCTTTCTTTCCTTTCTCCCATTTTCCTTCCTATCTCCCTCCCTTCTTCCTCTCTCTGTCTGACTCTCCCACCCTTTCTTCCTTCGCCCACCTATTCTTCTCCCTTCCCCTTGTCTCCTCTTCCTCCTTCTCTCCTTTCTCTCACCCACCCACCCACCATTCTGCCTTCTCCCCCTTATTCGCCCTCCCTCCATCTCACCACACAGGCTCTTGCGCCTGAAACAAAGTGATCACTGATTACAAAGCGACGGATAAATTGGTTGCTGAAGACATCGTGTTGTTGGGGCATCTGATGTGTTTACTGACAACCAACTGACTCCCATCCCCAATGCTGAGTTCTTGTGAGTAGAAAGAGAGAGAAAGAGACTTGTAGATAACATGATTAAGAAAGTTTATTACTGAATTATTATTATTATTATTATTATTATTATTATTAACACATTACTAATTTTGTCACCTTTCTTATTCCCATATTTATGACAGGAAAGCCATGAGGTACCTTGGAACACTCCGGTGCAGTACCAACACGCAGGCTAATGCTAGGGGCCTGGCGAAGAAGGCTGTGGCTGCTTATATCCACGATAATCGTAAAGTGTCTGAATGGGATGCTGCTACGGTGAGTGAGAGGGGAGGAGGAGAGACTTGACTTTCATAAATATAATCATCAATAACTGCTGTAATAACACATATAATCATCAATAACATCTATAGAATCATCAATCACCGATGTATTCATAAATCACCTGTTTATATTACAGTTGGCAGAATTGAACACCTTAATTGGTGGATTAGAGGTGGATAAAGTTATGGATATTCCTTCCTCAGCGTTTAACGGCCTTACTCACGCCATGTCAACCATAACTACTGATGTCATCCCGGTGAGTTGTGGTTGTTGTTATCTTGGTGAGTGTTTGTGGTGTTGTGTGTCCCAGGGGCCGCATACTTAAAAAACATTTCGGGACCGTATCTCTTTGTTTACCCCGTAACTGGACTTACAGTCTACGATCGGTATACTCAAAACAAATATTTGGCAGCGGACTCGGTAAGTGAGCTCAACTCACAGCACCTCCTTAGGTGCTGTGACACGCTCAACCCGGACATAGTACCCCTGTAATCGCTATTTCCCGATTGCATAAGAAAAAATAATAATATATGTTGTAATAATACTTGTTAGACTTGTTTCATCATAGAATAATGAAGAAAATGTTTTGTACATCAACATAATAAAATACAATGTTACAGTTTGTTCTTTTAGTTAATTTTTTTACGATAATAAGAAGCTCGAGTGTTTCTCAGAATGGAAGAGATTCATCTTTTGTCTTCTTACAACTTATCAAATAATTTGTACAAAATAGAAGATTTTTATTGTCCATATTTATGGTACAATTTTTGTTTATGACTGAGTAAACTTAGAGATAGACTTTATTAATGTAAATATCCTTCAGTAATGAAAGCTAATTATGAGGACAAGCGAACATTTTTGGCTAGGCTCTGCCAGGACAAAGTTATTCTACCAAGTATCCAGTAGGTCCCCATGAGTCAAAGTTAAATAATACCTAACCCAATCTAAGTTCATAAGGGGGAAAAAATTAAGCGGTAAATCATTTATTTTTCTTAGAAAAAAATAATGTTCATAGGTTTTTTAATCCTATACATTCAGTAGTGATTTATTTTGCAAAAGTAGTGAAATGTATCTTACCCTAACAAAACCTAACCTTACCTTATCTTACCTAACTTAATGTTACCCTACCTAACCTAACCTAACCAAACCAAACCAAATCTAACCTAACCTAACCTAAGAAAGCTGCATCGCACATGACAAACAATTAAGTTATCTTGAAAAATTTCAATTTCTTTTAAAAAAAAATACATTTGCAGAGATAACAAACTTTTTATAATAATTTCTCCAACATTTCTATAAGTCTGTTGATGATATATAAATGTAACTTAGGATGCCACTATTATGTGGGTCATCTCTTCTCAGCTAGAACAAGTCACCATACTGTAGTAGTGTTGTTGTTATACCTTATCATCTTTGACAGATCCTAAAGGTAGAACAAGTAATGAACATCCAGCCACTTACAGCAGCTGCCATGACAGGTGAACAGATAAATAAACTTGATGTCAAAGCTCAAGAAGTTCTCAAGGATTTGTTGCCTAGTTCTCCTATCAAGAGAGGCTCTGCCCCAGGTGTGTATGTCTGTCTGTACCTGTATTTACCTGTAATTAGTCTCCTGTATCTTTCTTTATCTGTATTAACATAGGATACTGTAGTTATGATTGTTATAATAATAATAATAGTAGTAGTAGTAGTAGTAGTAGTAGTAGTAGTAGTAGTAGTAGTATTCAACATTACACACTATTCCTCCAGGTGTCACTCTGTGCTTGTCACTTGCTCTGCTTCCCGTGTTGGTGGTGATGGTGTAAATGATCCACACTCTCTCCTTCCTGGACCACCTGCAAGATGGATCAATACTCACTATGGATCCACACTGAACACTCAACACACGCTTCAGGATCCACAGTTCTCAGCCTCATCAGTGATCCAGAGATGAGAGGGAGATGATTAATCTACAAGAGACAATTTTTGGTTACTGATCCACCTACCAGTCTGTCTCTTTCTCTACCAGTCACTGATCCACCTACCAGTCTGTCTCTTTCTCTACCAGTCACTGATCCACCTACCAGTCAGTCTGTTCTCTACCAGTCACTGATCCACCTACCAGTCTGTCTGTCTCCACCAGTCACTGATCCACCTACCAGTCTGTTTTGTTCTACCAGTCACTGATCCACCTACCAGTCAGTCTGTCTCTACCAGTCACTGATCCACCTACCAGTCAGTTTGTCTTCTTCTCTACCAGTCACTGATCCACCTACCAGTCAGTCTGTCTCTCTACCAGTCACTGATCCACCTACCAGAGTCTGTCTCTCTCTCTACCAGTCACTGATCCACCTACCAGTCAGTCTGTCTGTCTCTACCAGTCACTGATCCACCTACCAGTCAGTCTGTCTCTACCAGTCACTGATCCACTTGCCTGAGTGTTATCAACCAGTCTCATTTTGTCAGTCAGTGATCCAGACTGAGGGGTCTAATGGATCAGACTTACTGATCCAGTCATTGGTGATGCTATACAATTAATTATAAAAGTGCAATTAATGGCAGAAGTCTTGGTGATTTTTTTTTTTTGTAAAGTCTTGGTGATTTTGTCCAATTAATTACACAAGTCTGGTGATCTTGTCCAATTAATTCCAGTACATAATATTGTGGTGAGGTTTAAAGTAATTATAATTATCCAATATACTGTATTTAAATAAAGTTAATATATTTAATAATTTTGAAATATTTAATGTGGTGAGTTTAACTCTAGTGGAGTTTAACTAAGAATAATGATTTAACTCTTTGAGGACAATGGTTTAACACTTTGAGGATGATGGTTTAACCTTTTGAGGACAATGGTTTAACACTTTGAGGATGATGGTTTAACCTTTTGAGGATGATGTTTAACCTTTGAGGATGATGGTTTAACCTTTGAGATGATGGTTTAACACTTTGAGGATGATGGTTTAACCTTGAGGATAATGGTTTAACCTTGAGGATGATGGTTTAACCTTTTGAGGACAATGGAACACTTTGAGGATGATGGTTTAACTTTTGAGGACAATGGTTTAACCTTTGAGGATGATGGTTTAACCCTTTTGAGGACAATGGTTTAACACTTTTGAGGACAATGGTTTAACACTTTGAGGATAATGGTTTAACCTTTTGAGGAATAATGGTTTAACCTTTGAGGATAATGGTTTAAACTTTTGGAGGACAATGGTTTAACACTTTGAGGATGATGGTTTAATTTTTGAGGACAATGGTTTAACCTTTGAGGATGATGGTTTAACCTTTGAGGACAATGGTTTAACACTTGAAGATAATGGTTTAACTTTTGAGGACAATGGTTTAACCCTTTGAGATGATGGTTTAACCTTTTGAGGACAATGTTTTAACACTTTGAGGATGATGGTTTAAATTTTTGAGGACAATGTTTAGCCTTTGAGGATGATGGTTTAACCTTTTGAGGACAATGGTTTAACACTTTGAATGATGTTTTTGATGTTTAACCTTGAGATATGGTTTAAACTTTTGAGGACAATGGTTTAACACTTGAGGATGATGGTTTAACTTTTTGAGGACAATGGTTTAACCTTTGAGGATGATGGTTTAACCTTTTGAGGACAATGGTTTAACCCTTTGAGGATGATGGTTTAACCTTTTGAGGACAATGGTTTAACCCTTTGAGGATGATGGTTTAACCTTTTGAGGACTGGTTTAACCCTTTGAGGATGATGGTTTAACCCTTTGGGACATGGTTTAGCCTTTTGAAGATGGTGGTTTAGCCCTTTAAAGACAACGGTTTAACGGTTTTTAACCTTTAGAGGACAATGGTTTAACCCTTTGAGGACAATGGTTTAACCCTTTGAGGACAATGGTTTAACCCTTTGAGGATGGTGGTTTAACACTTTGAGGATGATGGTTTAACCTTTTGAGGATGATGGTTTAATACTTTGGATGATGGTTTAATACTTTGAGTTTGATGATTTAACCTTCTCAGGATGATGGGTTAACTTTTGAGGGATGGTTTAACTCTTCAGTGTTAAGACTTGGGTTTACATAGCATAATTCTTTACTCATTCACCGCTTGAGTGCCTTAGAGTGCCAGTTATGTTGTTATTTGTTAAGTAGGAAATGTCTAGTACAGTATTGTTAACTTAATCTAACCTAACGTAGTCTAACATAACTCGGTTTAACTTAATCTAACCTAACGTAGTCTAACATAACTCGGTTTAACTTAATCTAATGTAACTTATTCTGATGTATAAATATACCTTATTTAACCTAACTTAATGTAACTCCTACTTAGTTTATCTTGATGCTGGATATATTTTGGGGGTAACTCTTGATTTGAATAAAATTTTGATGATATTTGTTTGATAAAATAAATCCCAAAAGGCACTTGATTCTCGTTCTTGGTACAGTATGCTGTTGGGTGAATACAAGTACATAATTCAGGTAGTGTATCATAAAGTAATGCCCAGGTGGTGAATGTATCTTAAAGTAGAGGTATTTTAAATACACCACACACAGTCAGAGGTCTTCATCCCAAAGAGCAACACACACACAAAGACATCATAACTATGGAGAAGTCAAGATGTCTTGCTTGTCTCTCCTTAATTGTGGTAAAACAATAAGTCTAGGAACATACAGTATTGGAAATGTATCAAAGCGTATAATATGGGTTTCGATTCCAACTCTATGATATATTATTTATAAATAGAATAGGTTTAAGAACGTCTTGTGTGGAAAGTAAAAAAAAAATATGGGATTTGTACAGGTGTTGGTCTCACGCCTGGATAGTGAAGCCTAAAGAAAAGCATTGACTCCTATATCTAAGGGTCTTAAACTCCCGATATGAGACTCTGTCGTTTACTGACAAATTATGCGAAACCGGATTCAGAATTTATTAGTTTAAGAGAGGTCAACACATGCTGACAGGCCAGGTTTTTCGTGTGTGTGTGTGTGTGTGTGTGTGTGTGTGTGTAAGGTGTTTGGTTCATTTCACCTGATGATTAAACACCTTAATGCTACCTGGAGTAGTTAGGTTAGGGTGTTTAATAATCATCAAGCTTTTATGGCAATTTTCCACACTTGCTCTTACCTGATGGCAGCTTTGATTTTGACTATGGACACATCGTCAATATTCTCAGAAGAAAACTACATCTGATTCCGGTCACACACACACAAGGTCTTCCACTGCATCTACATGATTATATAATTCACAGAAGAGATGATTCGAATCTTTGTTACAATACACAATGGCAGAAGATCGAATAATGTATAATGGTGCTTCATCTTATGGACAATAGTGTGTGTGAGGAGAGGTGGCGCCCGGTGTGTTGTGGCGGTCGTGACGCACACACACAAACCTCAGACCACAAGTAATTTAACAATCTTATAAGTATACCCCTACTTGGTTTCACTTTACACCAATAAAGTCACTTACAGAGATGATCGTGATATTATAAGTGATGGCACCCTAAAGTGAGTTGCCAAGTACCGCAAGATTACTAAAGTCGTCAATAATTAAGCGAAAGATTACCTCAAGACGCTGCTACTTCCGCCCTGATAGTAATCTTGTTCTCGTCAGCCAGATGGTCGACCCTGAGCCCTTTACCTGTGGCTCCTTCCTTCCACTAAGTAACATTCAGGAGCGTTAGGGAGCAGCTAGTAGTATTAAGGAACACACCAGGAATACTTAGAAATGATCAGGAACAACAGGGAATACTCAGGAGCAACAGTGAACACTCAGGAACAACAAGAAACATGTAGGAACACTCAGGAATAACAGGGAACATGTAGGAACACTCAGGAATAACACTAGAACAACAAGGAACACTCAGGAACAACAAGAAACATGTAGGAACACTCAGGAACAGCGGGGAACATTCAGAACAAAAGGAACGCCCAGGAACATTCAGGGCACTAAATCAATTCATTCTGTACCTGTCAAGACGGCCTCCTCCCTCCTAACATCCAGACCTCTCAATATGGCCTCCTCCTTCCCTCCAACATCCAGACCTCTCAATATGGCCTCCCCCTCCCCCTGACCTCCAGACGCCGTCAACAACAGGGTAAGCACAATAAAGGTGATAGTGGTGAGGTGAGAGTCACACACACACACCGCCAGGTAGCTTCGTCCATTCACCTGACTGATTTAATTATGAGAAGGACAATAGCCTAGTGTGGCCGGAACTACTGCCTACCCTCCCTCCCTCTTATCCCTCCCTCAAGGATAATTCTTCCTCTCTCCTCCATCATCCCTCCTTCTTTATCAACGTCTGTCTTCCTTCCCTCCTTCATCACCTCTCCCTCCATCTTTCCCTTTCTCCCCCTCCACTTCCTCCCCCTTCCCTCTCTCCTCCTTCCTTCCTTCATCTCCAACCTTCCCTGTTCCTCCCTTCCTCCCTCCCCCACCCACTATACATGGTCATCTTCTAGGGGGGTGACCAGGTAGGCTCGGTTAATTAACCCACCCAGGAGGTATCACTTTATTACTCTTGTGGTCAGTTAAAAATATAGGTGTTCAAGCTCTTCCGTCCGTGTGTGTGTCTGTGTGTCTGGTTGTGTGTGTGTGTCTGTGGGTGTGTGTGTGTGTCTGTGTGTGTGTGTGTGTCCGTGGGTGTGTGTGTGTGTGTGTGTGTCTGGGTGTGTGTCTGTGGTGTGTGTCTGGTGTGTGTGTCTGTGTGTGTGTGTGTGTGTGTGTCTGGGTGTGTGTGTGTGTGTTCGTATGGGTGTGTGTGTCTGTTTGGGTGTATGTGTCTGTTTGGGTGTATGTGCGTGTCTGTGTGTGTGTGTGTGTGTGTGTGTGTGTGTGTGTGTGTGTGTGTGTGTGTGTGTGTGTGTGTGTGTGTGTGTGTGTGTGTGTGTGTGGGCTCTACAAAACCTCCGACACATCCATGAAATACGAGGTAAAGGTGAGAGGTGAGGGATGAGGTAGGTTAGGGTCAAGGTCGCTGACGGAGCAAATGGATACACTCTGCGGGGCTCACATCTACCCCACCTCACCTGGTCTACTCTGTTCACACACACACACACACACACACACCCACCTTCCAAACATTATATCTCATCTAGATTAGAGAAAGAGAAAGAGAGAGAGACGCAAGAAAAGGTTAATACAAAGGTGTTGGGTGATATGTTGGTGTCTCCCCACCTGTGTGTGTGTGTGTGTGTGTGTGTGTGTGTTCGCTGAATTCATCAAGAAATTAGTCTCAGTTCTCCATTATGGTAAGATAGATAGATAGATAGGTGGATGGATGGATGGATGGATGGTATGTGGTAGATGGATGGATGGGTGATGGGTAGATGGATGGGTGGATGGGTAGATAAATAGATATATAAGATACTATCTCTCACCGGAAATAATAGTGTGAACACGTGTTTGGCCTGGTGTGTTAGTGGTGGGGGTGAGGAGGGAGGGGAAGGAGGAGGCGAGATTTTGTGTCAAAAACCTTATATAGCTGCGTGAGGGTAGATTGATGCCCAGGTATCAGGTATACTCAGGTACTCCCAGGTAAACACAGGTATGCTCAGGTAACACAGTGCTCCAGGTACC